CGCAACTCATGACGTCACGCAGTCCACGCGAGAGTGAATTCAAGAAGTATTAAGTATGGGAAGCCGTTGGTATAAACCAATGGCTACTGTTGCCAATTATAGACATTTAAGGATATTTGTGGAGATTACATAGTTTATTTTGTTTACGTTAGGTTTCAACTGTTTTATGTATATAGCTTCAAGAATATTTAGTTTTTGTTTATTGTTTTCATATAAAAGTAAAATTGTGTTTTTAATTATATTAAGACACAGATAACTTTATGGGTTTATTTTTTTATAATTTATTTCCTTACGATTGGTATTTTGTCCCTAATTCATCAGATCTTCATTTTCATACAAAAATATTGGTGACTAATTTTTCTAGGCTTAAAATTTACATATTATTTTTATTTTATGCACACATGTTTGAATATGCATTTTAAAGATGGTATAAGACGAAAGAGAAAGAAGGATGAAGATGATAGATATGTGATCGAAATTAGAGAGGGAAAGGAGAGATAGGAAGATGTTTATATCTATCTTTATTAAGATTTTTATTTGAAAGGTGGTGGGGTAAGAAACCAGACGTTGTCCTATTTATCAAGTCTCTTTCTCTCTCTCACTCTCACTCGCTCTCTCTCTCTCTCTCTCTATATATATATATATATATATATATATGTGTGTGTGTGTGTGTGTAATTTATAAATTCATGAATCATTCACACAAAAAACAAATATAGATGTTAATGATTTAAATGGCGAGAATACATCTTCGCAAACAATATAAATGAGATACATCAACCCCAAACCTGTATATGAATGATATGATCCCTGTTCATAAATTCCAGTTGCATAAGGTCTTTTAATTTTTAAAAGCTTTCGTCTGTTCCTACAGACATCCTCAGGTATGGAATTAGATTTTGTTCTTGTTTTTACTTCTCGGTAATAAGAGGACAACGAAAATATAGATGTAATCCGAAAAAATGCTATGAGAAATGTGTTATTGTTTTGGAACGTGCGGTCGCAATGCTGAGTTTGAATTTAAATTTTAAGGTTGTGCGTTTTTGTACAAAAGAGAATTATTTTTACTGGTAGATTAACCGTCTATGTGGCATGAACTATATTGTTCAATAATTACAGTAATGTCACACTTATTATCCGAAAGTTTCACGTTGGATCAGTTATTTTAATTTCAATTAAAGATGCGAATTATAATTTATAAATTCATGAATCATTCACAAAAAAACAAAAACAAATATAGATGTTAATGATTTAAATGGCGAGAATACATCTTCGCAAACAATATAAATGAGATACATCAACCCCAAACCTGTATATAAATGATATGATCCCTGTTCATAAATTCCAGTTGCATAAGGTCTTTTAATTTTTAAAAGCTTTCGTCTGTTCCTACAGCCATCCTCAGGTATATATATGTTTGGGGTTGATGTATCTCATTTATATTGTTTGCGAAGATGTAGTCTCGCCATTTAAATCATTAACCTCTATATTTGTTTTTTGTGTGAATGATTCATGAATTTATCAATTATAATTTGCACCTTTAATTAATATATATATATATATATATATATAATGAAACTCTTAATGATCAGAGTTGAATTAGACAAAGAAGCAGTAATATTCAAAAGTGCTCAATACGCATATAAAAAAGATAAAATAAATTTACATGCAGAGCTTTTAAGCATAGAAAATTAGGAAAACAATCGATTCACTACCTTGGTTTCAAACTTTCAGTATCTTCAACCGATTTCGGTCAATTGATTTTCTAACGCTTTATATTTGTAAAAATAAAGAAAAAAATATGAACACTATATTTTTTTTTAAATAAATAAATAAATGAATAAACGTAAGTGAGTTTTGGTAGAAGATAAGCAGGAGGGGAAGGAAGAGGAGGGAACATCCAGTGTATTGTAAATAAATCCATGGGGGGGGGTTAAATGAAATATACATGTCATGTAAGAACTTTTTAGTATGTATACAACGGGTCATAATTTCCAATTTCTGATTCAAAAGGATTTCTTGGCGTGAAAATGTTATTATAGTTAATTTTTGTTGTTGACAAAGTTTGCAAATGTTACTATGATTGTTGTAAGATCTTTTTTTTTTTAATTCTTATTTTCATTTCCACACAGGTTCGGCTAGTTTAGTAGAATTTTAAAGATTTTCTAGCTTAAAAGTTGACTTATGATTGTACCACCTCTTTTAAAATTACCCTCAATACACCCTATGTATATTTTTCTGTCCATTTGTATCATTTAATTCCACTTTGTAAATTACATCCTCAGTTTGTAAAAGTCTATCTAATGGACATCACCTTTTATTTCTACAGTTGCATATATTACTAGTATTATTGTTTGGCTTCACGTTAAATTTGAAATTTCTGGCGTTTTGTCTTTCTAAATTACTATGGCAGCTTTTTTCCCTATTTTATACTTGATCTATAGGTTAAAATAGTTATTAATTTAATATTTTTCTATTCCTCGAATTGTTCTTCATTTGTTTTATTTGAGGTTTGAGTTCCAGTTTGGCTTCATCCTTCTCTTCTTTAAAATCCTTTCTATCTTCACAAATGTCAGTCCTTTGTAGCTCTCCAATAAAATAAAGAAAATCTTTCACGCACATGCACTTTCACACACTACATATAAACAATCGCTCACATCATGCACAGACACAGACACCCACACACACAAACACACACATCCCCACACACACAAACACACACATCCCCACACACACACAGACATATATATATATATATATATATATATATATATATATATATATATGCATTAAAATGTAAGAATAGATTATTTGTGTTATAGGAACCCCTGACATATATATATATATATATATATAGAGAGAGAGAGAGAGAGAGAGAAAGAAGGCGAGAGAGAGAAGGAAAGAGAGAGGTAGAAGGAGATTCGATTGATTTGATTTTTACGTTTTACTAACCTTTTCTTGGCTATTTAAATCAAGAAAATACTTTTTTCGATCTACACAATGCACTCGCAGACGCTCACATCGTACACACATCCAGACAGACAGACACACACACACACACTATATATATATATATATATATATATATATATATATATATATATACATAATAACAATGTTAACGGCCAGAGTTGAATTAGACCAAGAGACAGTATACTTAACTTCCGTGCCTTTTCTATAAATATTTTTATTTGAGCTTTCCTCTTTCTTACGTCGACATTTCTATACATTTGGGTATTTGATTTGTTATACTCGCACTGTGCTTGGATCTAATATTCAGGTATTTTAATTTTGTGTTGAGTTTCATATATGGAGACACGCTGCCAGTTCGTAGATTTTATTCTACATTCAAATATTTGACAGTTTTCTCGTTCATATCGAATTCTATTTCAAAGTTGAGGTTTTTGAAGAGTTTGAAATGCACTTTTCTTATCTCGTCATTCGTTCTTCGGTTGTCTGGCACTATCATCAGTCCATCATCTCTATACAGGCTGCGGTTATTTATATGTACAATATTGTTGATTGCATATAAAATATGTAGGTCTATTAAATCTGAAACCTCAGCACCATCATATGAACGTTATGATACATCGAAGTCTCCTTTTTTGATATTTTAATCCAAGCTTCTACATTGTGGAATAAGATTGATTTCTTATGTCCATTTGTTTAGGTTTTATATTTACAAAGCTTTTTTAGCGAAGTACAAAGCTTCAAGCACCCCTTTTATTAGATATAGATGGGTAAAAGTTTATTATGTTGTATTTTATAAATACAATGATCTTTATTTGTAATTTTATGGAACCAAGAAATATACTCACTTGTGTCCTTTCAATGATTGGCTTGTGTAGCTATCCTTATGTTATAGTAGAACACAATTATTCTATAGTTAATAGACTCCCCCACCTATAATAAGTAGGTGTAGTAGGAAGTCGCTCAATGAGTTAGGCAGTCAGTCGATGTCGGACGACCGTTAGTCGGATATTAAAGTATCAGCCACCACAACTAGATTACTGCGTCATACCTATTATATGAAATTCCTAACGTTTTGTACGTCGAACCTGTTTTAGGACCGACTTAGTACAAATACAAGCCTCCACTGTGAAATCACTCCATAGCACATTTATAGGTGTATATATTCGATTATTTTACCCCGTTAAATTTTGGTTAGGTTTATTAGTCTAAAAGAAAGATTACTGAGGAATCCGTCTTTACGGTCCTTTTTAGTTAGAAATGTTTGCTTACAACATAAATAGAGAGAGAGAGAGAGCAAGAGAGAGAGAGAGAGAGAAAGAGGGCGATTGTGGATTTAATCGATTTCTTGATTTTTTTTACGTTTTTCTTAACCTTTTTCAGGTTATTTAAAGCCAGTGAAAGCATATGGATTGTTAATAATTTAGGGGGATAGTAACTATTTTTACTAATACAAGTCCTATTAATTACCTCATAGCTGGAAGGAAGAGCTGGTTTCATGCCTTCCCCAATATTATTTTCTTGTAAGTGAATAAAACGAACCCAACTAGAATTGGAACTCGGCTATTCCAATTCTGATTCGTTATCCATTATTTCCATCGCGCATCCCCGTCCTGTGTATGATAATAAACTGCATCCGTGTCCTGGGTAAGACCACAAACTGCATCCGTGTCCTGGGTAAGATGATAAACTGCATCCGTGTCCTGGGTAAGACGATAAACTGCATTCGTTCAACAGCAATACCTCGGATCAGGTTTTGAGGTGCGTGGAACCACCTCTTATTTGCTGGTGTTCCCAGGTTCATCCTGACCCGGGGTGGTAGCACATATTAGGGTCCCAACTATGAGCAAATAGTTAACCCCTAAACTGGAGTCAAAACACTATGAAAATGTAAAAATAGGTTTTTAAATCAGCAATACATTTTTGAAAAAAAAATATTACCAGCAATAACCTTGTCGGCATTAAATAACCCATTGAGGTTGATATACCGTAAAACAAACCAAACCATACCAAACCAAACCACCGCACAAGCTTACAGCATGTAGTATTCCCAAGCGGTGACCCATCTAGATACTGATCAAGCTCGACGTTGCTTAACTTTTGTGATCTTAGGAAAACGGGTATCAGCATGATATGTATGTAAGCCGAGAGAGAGGAGAGAGAGAGCGGTGGGGAGAGAGAGAAGAAGAAAGAGAGAGAGGAGAGAGAGAGCGGTGGGGAGAGAGAGAAGAAGAAAGAGAGAGCGAGATAGAGAGAGGGGGAAACGCAAGTAGGCGTGTCTGTATGTATTGCGTGTGCTCTATCGCTGAGGCCTAGATTAACCTCATCATCAAGGCTCCTTATCAAGTAAACGTTTAAAGATTCAAATATACATAATCAGTATTTACCTACTCACGAACCAAGTAAATACTTAGAGACTCCAATATAAACGAACCATATTTACCTATCCCTAAACCAATATATTCTTATAGACTCAAATATAATAGGAAAGGCCTGATTTCGATATTAAATAGCTCAACATGGGATGATGCCTCCTGAAAACAAACAACCCAGCTCTTGCATAAGGAGATAGGAAGAAATGTATATAGCTTGCTGAAGGTTGGACAACCAACTTTATATAGAGAAAAAGAAGCAATTGCAAGTGCGTACTTAATAGGTTTCTTTAAATACATGGAGAGAATATAGGAGAAAATGATATATAATTTTAACACGGTCGAACTACGACTGTAGAGAATTTATCTAAGCTTATGAAATTGTAATAACTTTTAAAATAATAAAAGACTTAATTAACACAAGAAAAAATATATGGCAAAATAAACATGTCATTGCATATAATGGTGAATATATAATTGAATAACAAGCGTTTGTAGCTTACTTTTTAAAGATTAAAGTTGATAGACAAAAACGGAATTTTTTATGGATAAACCTCACAGATTAGACAAAGAAGAAATATATGGTTCAGATATTTTAAGTTTTTTGTCAAAACCAACCAGTCCCTTTGAAAATGTTCAAACAAGTTATTTTGTCTGTCATGTAAACAGATGAAAGAATTATAACGATTTACATTGTCAGATTATGTTACTGTTATATACCATGCATATAGACACTAATGGGTAGTCCCAATCCTCATAAATTCGTTGGACAGTAATCTAAGTAGGGGTAATGTACTAAGTAGTCCACCACTAGCAGTGGTTTACCTACTTCATGCCGCTGGCGAGTATTGTATTTTGTTGATGTTATAAAGATCACCATTTTATTTTCAAACTCCGTTTTCTGTTATTCCTCATTCAGTAACCCTTTCTGGGTTAAAACAATTATGTGAGTTCATATTTTCACAATATTGTGGTATTAAATTATTGAACAATTGAGGTTGGGAAATCTTCTTTAAATACTCATATCTACATAACCATTATATAATTTAAGTTTCACCTTATTATATATACATAAATATTGATGAATCCTTTTGGGGATGTCTGATTTTATTATACAAACCAATTGGGACACACATTTTTATTTATAAAGTTCCAAACGATATAGGCACCATAAAACTTTATTAACACAATATACCTGAATATATTATTTATTGATTTACATTATATAGGCTCACAGATAGAGATTTTATCCGTCTTTCAAACACTGAGTCTTTTTTTTTCTGCTGTTTTGGATTTAATTGTATTGCATCAAATTTTGGGGTTGACGGACATCTTCATTTTGATATTGTTTAAGATTCATTTTTATTGGATTACTAGCAGTAGAGCCCGGCGTTGCCCGGGGATATAACAGTAAGAGATAGATCAAGTATCCACCATCATAAAGACTGAAAAATAAAATTGACAAAGATTATTGTTTAAGGTTGACGGACACGCATGTCTTAATTAGTTTTTTTTGTTTTTTTATGAATTGGTCAAACCCAAACTCAAACAAAAACATTGTTTTCAATCGTTATGAGTCTACCGATTGAATAGAATTTTATTATAAACAATTGTCTTGTAAATGGAAGTTTTAAAGCATTCTGAATGTAAAAATAAAGAAAAAAGTGTGCAAGACAATAAGAAACACTACCTGCCAAAAAAAAGTTTTGTTGAAATCGGTTGAAAAATGTAGGAAATCCGATCCCATATATAAACGAACACAGACACACACACACACAAACAACCTGAGTTTTTATAATAAGTATAACTCGATATGATTTGTCTTCCTTTCATTCTGGCGACTGAATCGTGTTTTCAAATTGATTTCGTGCAAAAACAATCGTGTTTTTTTCCATTTTTGGCGCTGTCAGAACCACCGTAAGGTAATTTTACGTAGTCCAGGGAAGTTTTGTTGAAATCGGTTGAGAAATGTAGGAAATCCGATCCAATATATAAACGTACACACACACACACACACACACACACACACACACACAATATGCGTTTTATAACAAGTAAGATTATCAGCTAAAGGCATAATTTATTCCAGTAATTTGGTATGTTTCCAACACTTCTTTGGCAATGTTGGTAATATTTTTGTTTGAAGAATGTGCAGGAACAGTGTCCTGTAAGCAGGTATCTTTTATCTTCTTGATCTTCACTGGTATCAGTAAAAAAAATGTCTGGTTCAAAAACTTATAAATAAATTCTATATTTATCTTGTCATATAATTTTACGCACACAAAATAATAATTCACCCCCCCATCACCAAAACGCATCTCGTTGATTGTTAGCTAAAATGACTCTCATCTTTATCCCATCTGTCGAGTTCATCCCATATTGCTCTACATAAATCATTAAAATGACTTTAAAAATCAACCTTTAGGCATTCCTTTAGCCAAATCATACCTTTCTCTTTGTGATATATATTTAAAGTCTTAGGGCAGCTCGAGGTGACATAATGGTTAGCAAGCATGTCTCGCTAGAACAATTACGACTGAGTAGTGAGTTCAATTCTCACTGGGTACCCCATACATCCGGCCTTGTGCCACATCTGATCTACGCTTGGAAAATCACTATATTTAAAGTCTTAATTTGTTTGCTTTTATGCTTTCATATTCTACATATTTTGCCATCGGTTCATCTACTTCTACGGGTAGTATTCCTTCAGACCATCGACGATCATGGCTCTCCACAAGTTCCCGTAGTTTGTATCTCCTAATAAATGATGTATTTTTGTTATCTCGCCTAAACCTTGTTCCACCATCCATTGACTTGATCTCACTATGTAGGTTGTGTTGTTTTCTTCTGTCTCTCTTACTTTCAATCTGTCCTGTGAATATCAAATTTTCCAAGTCCTCTTTTCTCATTATGTACCTTAGAAATTTCAACTGTCTCTTTGTGATGTTAATTATAAGTATCCATTTTGTTTCCATTTTCTCTTAATCTGTAATCCTACAGCACCCTCCCCGGTCGTCCAAGACTTCCATCAACGCGGCTGGTCACTGAAGTGACCGTTTGAATCCAGAGCTAACCTTATCCCATGTTGTGATTTAAGTTTGATCATAAGGCAGCCAAGATCGAATCGTAGCAGGTATTTTCGTGCTGGGCTGATCCAAGCAGTGCGATGACGTACAGGAAAAAAAATAACACTTGAATAAATTGAACTAAATTAAACACTGTTTTTATATCAGTCCCCCCATACAATAATTGGTTTGTATCAGAATTCGCATGCAATTAATTGTCAGTCCAACCCGCATTTAAATCAGAAGAGATATTATTGTTGCTGACCTGGCAAAATCTGGTTTGTTATTGTTGGAAAAGTTTGGCCCAAGTCTGAAGTCGGATGCTTTCGTCGGCAGATCATCACGTTGGTCTCTAACCTGTCACTGGTCTCGTCTCCGTCTCTTCTGCCTCTCTTCTGCTTAATTCGCTCTGCGCTTGGGGTGTATGGAGGGTAGGAGCATTTTGGTGAATACGTCATAACTTTGGGGAATTCCCTCTCTCCACTCACTCTTTTATTATCCTCTCTAAACTTATCCCTTCTGTGATCCTGGTTGGTTTGTCCATACTCCTTGATGTGTTATCTGCGCCTGCTGTCCCGACCATTTTCCGTCAAGGAAAACTCAGTTCCAGACTTCAGACTTGTGCCAATTCAGTTGTTTATAAAATCTCGTTTTTCGCTTTCCCGTCCGCATTTGCAGCTGTGTGCCAATAAACATTGCTCCGTCCCCAAGTTTGCGGCACTTTTCCATTGTTCAAACTCCTCGACATACAATTCAAGTCGTTTATGCGTGAATTAAATCGTCAATTCTTCCTACAGATTTTTGGTTTTAACACTTCTCGTTTCAATGTCTCTGAGCCCATAACATTTTCTATTGATAAGAGAACTTTCTTAGGTTTTATTCTACCGCGGTAACAACAAATAGTATCGCAAATCTATGTTGATGTTTGGTTCATGGTATTCTCAATATCCTTCTGTAGAATGGGATTTTGGTTAATTTGAGTCTTTTCTTCATCTGTGAAGAAATTGTAAAGCATTTACTGCCATATAGGACTGATATTACATAACAAGTCATTGATTCATTCATTTATTTTTACGGCTTATCAAACCTTTTCATGCTATTTAAAGCCGTTTTTTGATTGTAAATTTTGTTTAAATAATATTGTTTTCTTGATACAAGTCTTATCAATTAAGCCATATTTAGATGGGAGAAGGTGTCGATTTATATATTTTCTAATGTATTTAGTATTTTCCCAACTGAACATAACGAACCCAAGGTGAATTGGAACTCGACCCTCCGTCTAACAATTCCAAGCTATTAACCATTACATCACCAGGACGTCCAAGCTTACAGCACCTGGTATTCCCAAAATGTCACGACCAGACTTGTCGTTGCTTAACTTCGATCCTGCTAGGGGAACGGATGTATCAGTGTACTGTGGTTGTATGCCACCTAACAGTTCAGCACTCTTTTCTTTGTTTCTGACAGATTTTTTTTCTGATGAAAATAACCATATTTTTTTAGAGCACTTGAAGTTTTGCATATTATCACGGCCTTCCTTCCATTTTTTTTTTCCAAACTGTTTTCCAAGTCCTGCTTCAGGATCACCAGCAGCCACCGAGTTGCAGCTTTTTATTTTTATCTCTTCTAGGAGTTTTTGACAGGTGATTATCAAACTGAAAATAAACAGAAGTCGTCGAAACCAAAAC